CTAGAAGATACCATTTCCCTGAGCACTGCTGAATGTGAGTCACACGACACCTTTCGAAGGTGCCAGTTATTTTCTGGTGCATTGTGCTGGCTGGACTCTATGGCAACGTTCTCATCTTCTGTGTCCTTCAAATAATGTGCCAAATTGCCTATTTAAAATACTGACAAAAGAATGTCCGCTCATGCAGAGGGTCCCTGATTAAGGGCTTTTCAGTGAGTGAACCGCTTTCCAGAAAGATGTCCTGATAACTGTGGGCAGAGGTGACCCACAGCCATGGGATCTCAGTGTGGTGTGAGATGCACTGTGGGACCTGCCCACCCCCTCAACCATGTGACTGACTCCACGGCAGAGCCTCCAGTACCCACACTGCAGGGGCTGCCCTTGCTTTTCTTCACATGCTCTTCCACTGTGTCCCCAGCAATTCCATTGGCAGAAATTGAGCAAATGTTTCCCTGTTTGTTGCGTTTTTTAACACTTTCAGGTTCTTTCATACACTGCTGTCTTCCTTGGGATGGTCTGTGTAGGTGCCTTTGAATCTGAAAGAGCTTATCACTCACTCCCTTGGCATAGAGAAAAGGTGCTAGGAGTGCCAGTTGCACATTTTAGGGAATAATGGGCTAGGGTGGCGGTGCAGGGTATTCCAGCGCCATCTGTGGTGTAACATGATTTATTAATAATATCCTCCCCATTGCTGCAAGGGCTTGAGAAGAGCCAATCAGGTGGGGTTGAGAGGTGTTCAGGGTTGGATGGGAGGCTAATCTAGATGACCTCTAAGGTGCCCTCCTATCTGAAATTCTGTGATTCTCTTGGGATGGTTATATCAGAATCCTGTGTAGCTGGTAGGAAGTTGGGGGTGGGGATCAGAATTGGTTTTAAATCTGGAGGGAGGACAGTTGCAATGTCATGGAATGACAGTTGGGGAATGGGGTCTGGCCAAGCTGGTGAGGCAGTCACTCAGCCAGAACCTTTAAGAAGGGGCTTGGGATTGGCCACATAATTAGAAAAAGCAATGAATCCTAAGAGCTGTTGGTTATAGAGGTTGAGAGAAACTGAAGTTTTTCACTGAAATGTGCCTCTGGCTATTCTCTGTTGCCTGAAATCTCTGCCCCTTTGAAAAATATCTCTGTTGAGTGATATCTCCAGGAGGCTCTTGTCAAAATGAACAAACAATGCCTGCAATGGGATATCGTATTAATTCATCCATATCTGGCAATATCTTTGCACAGAATAAGCAATCACTTTCCCTCTTAGTATCCCTAGGTGCTCGTAAGTTCTAGCAGCTTTTTAATAAATTTTCTACATAAATAATCATATCATATATAAAGACAGTTTTAATTCATCCCTCTCCAATCTGTTTGCCTCTGTTTCTTTTCCTTTGCTTTATTGTGCTTTATTTAAAGTGACAAGAATATGTACCATTGTCTTGTTCCTGATCTTAGGGGGAAAGCATTTAGTCTTTCATTATTAGGGATGTTGTTGTTGTTGTTTAGTCACTCAGTCATGTCTGATTCTTTGTGACCCTATGGACTGTAGCCCACCAGGCTCCTCTGTCCATGGCAAGAATACTGGAGTGGGTAGCCATGCCCTCCTCCCAGGGATCTTCCCAACCTGGGGATCATACCCGAGTCTCCTACATTGGCAGGAGAATTCTTTCCTATCTGAGTCACCAGGGAAGCTCCGGAGATGATGTTAGCTACAGGTTCTTTTCATAGATGCCCTTTTTCATATTGAGGACATTTCCTTCTATTCCTAGGGTGATGAGAATTTTTATTCAGAATAGGTGTTGAATTTTATCAAATGTCTTTTCTATATCCATCAAGATGATCACGTAATTTTTCTCCTTGCTTAAATTATTAATATGCTATATTACATTGACAAAATGATTCAGATTTTGAATTCTATCCTGGCAGGCAGTTAAGCTGCTTCAGTTCAGTTCAGTTCAGTTCAGTCACTCAGTCGTGTCCGACTCTTTGTGACCCCATGAATCGCAGCATGCCAGGCCTTCCTGTCCATCACAAACCCCTGGAGTCTACTCAAACTCATGCCCATCAAGTCGGTGATGCCATTCAGCTATCTCATCCTCTGTCGTCCCCTTCTCCTCCTGCCCCCAATCCCTCCTAGCATCAGGGTCTTTTCCAATGAGTCAACTCTTCACATCAGGTAGCCAAAGTATTGGAGTTTCAGCTTCAACATCAGTCCTTCCAATGAACACTCAGGACTTATCTCCTTCAGGATGGACTGGTTGGATCTCCTTGCAGTCCAAGGGACTCTCAAGAGTCTTCTCCAACACCACAGTTCAAAAGCATCAATTTTTTCAGCGCTCAGCTTTCTTCACAGTCCAACTCTCACATCCATACATAACCACTGGAAAAACCATAGCCTTGACTAGATGGACCTTTGTTGGCAAAGTAATGTCTCTGCTTTTTAGTATGCTATCTAGGTTGGTCATAACTTTCCTTCCAAGGAGTAAGCGTCTTTTAATTTCATGGCTGCAGTTACCATCTGCAGTGATTTTGGAGCCCAAAAAAATAAAGTCTGACACTGTTTCCACTGTCTCCCCATCTATTTCCCATGAGGTGATGGGACCAGATGCCATGATCTTAGTTTTCTGAATGTTAAGCTTTAAGCCAACTTTTTCACTCTCCTCTTTCACTTTCATCAAGAGGCTTTTTAGTTCCTCTTCTTTTTCTGCCATAAGGGTGGTGTCATCTGCATATCTGAGGTTATTGATATTTCTCCCAGCAATCTTGATTCCAGCTTGTGCTTCTTCCAGACCAGCATTTCTCATGATGTACTCTGCATATAAGTTAAATAAGCAGGGTGACAATATACAGCCTTGACGTACTCCTTTTCCTCTTTGGAACCAGTCTGTTGTCCCATGTCCAGTTCTAACTGTTGCTTCCTGACCTGCATACAGGTTTCTCAAGAGGCAGGTCAGGTGGTCTGGTATTCCCATCTCTTTCAGAATTTTCCACAGTTTATTGTGATCCACACAGTTGAAGGCTTTGGCGTAGTCAATAAAGCAGAAATAGATGTTTTTCTAGAAGTCTCTTGCTTTTTCGATGATCCAGCAGATATTGGCAATTTGATCTCTGGTTCCTCTGCCTTTTCTAAATCCAGCTTGAACATCTGGAAGTTCTCAGTTCACGTATTGCTGAAGCCTGGCTTGGGGAATTTTGAGCATTACCTTACTAGTGTGTGAGATGAGTGCAACTGTGCAGTAGTCTGAGCATTCCTTGGCATTGTCTTTCTTAAGGATTGGAATGAAAACGGACCTTTTCCAGTCTTATGGCCACTGCTGAGTTTTCCAAATTTGCTGGCATATTAAGTGCAGCACTTTCACAGCATCATCTTTTAGGATTTGAAATAGCTCAACTGGAATTCCATCACCTCCACTAGCTTTGTTCACAGTGATGCTTTCTAAGGCCCACTTGACTTCACATTCCAGATGTCAGGCTCTAGGTGAGTGATCACAGCATTGTGACTACCTGGGTCATGAAGATCTTTTTTGTACAGTTCTTCTGTGTATTCTTGCCACCTCTTCTTAATATCTTCTGCTTCTGTTAGGTCCATACCATTTCTGTCCTTTATTGAGTCCATTTTTGCATGAAATGTTCCCTTGGTATCTCTAATTTTCTTGAAGAGATCTCTAGTCTTTCCCATTCTGTTGTTTTCCTCTATTTCTTTGCATTGATCACTGAGGAAGGCTTTCTTATCTCTCCTGGCTATTCTTTGGAACTCTACATTCAAATGGGAATATCTTTCCTTTTCTCCCTTACTACTCAGTATTTTTAAGGTTTGTCACAATAGGTCCACAGCAGCCTCAACTGTTGGGCTAATTTAGCCTCACTACTAAGACAGGTCTTTCCAAGGACTCTACCTCACAGCCTGCGCTTTTCTGAGATCCCTCTGCTTTGACTGGTGGGCATGAGGACCCTTCCCTGTGCAAGCTCTGAGAGGGGCTTTCTGTTCATTCTTCTCCCTGTCTGGTAGGCTTTTACCTTATACAGACTGTTACTCTGCCAAAGACTTGAGGAAACCCCTCTGAAGTTCACCAGAGCTCTTTCTACACAGTGACCTCCTCTCTCATATTCTGTCCCGTGAATCCCAGCCACTTTTATCTCCCCAAACTCTACTTTTTTGTCTCCTCAGCTCAGCGAAGCTGCTGTGTGGAAGCTGCTATGAGTTGGGGCATCATATGATGCATGAGATATCGGCTTCCTTTCTCCCAGGCATCAGAATGCTGTGCTGCCCATTTTCCAATGCTGCGATGAGTCACTGCCTGATCTTGACTACTCCTAGTAGGACTGCAGTTCCTGTAGGGATGTTTCCCTGCGAGCAGAGACAGAGATTTTGTCCATTACCTGTTGTTCACGCTATCTCCATCCTTCATAATGCCTGTCCTAAAGCAGTGTGACCTGTTTTGCTATTTTGCTTAAAAACATTTTGCATCCAAATGTCACAGAAAAGGGCGTTGGAGCTGGAATCATGATTTTTTGCTGCTCACTTAGCAGCCTCAGTTGTAAACCCTGTAGGCCTTATTTCCAATTTCTACCAAGTGAGAGTAAGGAAAACTGACCAGCCTACCACGCCAGTATTGTGAGGGATACACCAGATAATGCAGATGACAACATCCACTGTTCAAGGGCTTAACAAAGTCCTCCAAGTACTCAGCCCTCCCTGCTGGGGTAGGGAGGGCAGATTTCTGATGAGGCCTCCCCTTCTTTCTGCTCTCACTGTGACTGTCCCCTTTGGGGTTCACTACTTTCTCCAACCTGTCGGCCCAGCAAAATGTCTCTAAAAAAATTCAACAGAACTACCTAGAATTATATTCTTTCATGAATTTATACCTCGCTGCTGTCCTAAAATGATTATGAAGTGTTGTGTATTTGGTTTCTGAAGCTGCTTCACCTTAAAACCACAAAGCACAGTATTACAAAGTAGTATACCAGAATTTCCTGCACAACAGGCTCATAAATCTCTTTTTTTTTCCCCCTCAGGGCCACCTGGAGCCACAGGAACTCCAGGGGAAAAGGGAGATCCTGGTGAGCTGGGCTTGCCTGGAAACGAGGGCCCAGCAGGGCAGAAGGGTGACAAGGGAGACAAAGGGGACGTATCCAATGATGTGCTCCCCGCAGGTAAGGGGCTGGTGCTGCGGTCTTCTCCTGGGGCGAATGGGCCCAGAGACCATCCTGGTTTCTTGTACCAAGGCTGCTCTGGGTCATCTCTCCTTATCTGCCCTAGATGCCCATCTGTTTTGTAGCAAGTTTTAGAGTCCTGTGCTTTTGACAAGGAGAAAACCATGTGTAAGCCCAATGTTGGTAAGACCAAATCTGAGATCTAAGCCTAAGTAGTTGAGATAAAGCACCATGCCGTGGCTGGATGGATTTAGGATGAAGGAAGCTTCCTTTTCCCAAATATCTGTTAAATCCAGTGCAATCCAGAAGAAGAGAAATGAGATATTTCAGAGGACAACAGACAGAAAGTACAAGCTTCAGAGTTGATCTCAGGCCATCTTCAGACCCTTATCCTAAGATTCTTAACATAGGATTGAGGCAAACATGGTTGCTGATCTTCTTTATCTGGTTTCCAGCCCATGTTAAAAGCAGGTAATTGGTGTCTGTGGCACCGCAAGCCTCAGAAAGGCAATGACATGGCGGAAAGAGTAAGTGACAGCTGATTGTCATGGAGGAGGAAGAGGCAGAATTTTAAAAGCACTTTACTTTGGGGACCATTTGTACTATAAAAGCATAACTATCCTACTTGTGTGTTCAATAAGCACTTTTGAATATCAGAGAACACCATTTATGCATTAGGGACTTTGCTATAACAGCTGAAACTGGGAATATGAAAATGAGTAAGACATGATATCTGTCCTCAAGAAGCCAGGGTGATAGATGTGCAGGACAGTGACCCTGAATCAGTGTCCTATCCAGTTTTCAAAATTCCTTGAGCACCTGCCATTTACCAGGTACTGTGTAAAGATCAAAGCACCCAGGAAAAATCAAATTAGGTTTAGCATGCCTTGTTCCAGAAAAAGGAGGTTGTGTGCAAAATATGTAAAATTTAAGAGGTGTTTTGACAGGATTCATATATATATATATATATGAATATATATATATGAATATATATGAATATATTTTGAAACTATAAGATCATGTTATATTCAGTTATATGGGAAATCTATACATCCAGAATATCACACTCCCCTATATTAATTACCAAGCAAATGGGGGTGACCACAAGGCATTCAGGAAAGCCGCATCTCTGAGTGATGCTACTCTGATTCTAGAGACCAGGCTAGAGCTCAGTGTGTCCTCTGGCCAGGGGGCAGAGAAGGAATAGGAGGACTGGACCACGTCTGCCATGATCGCTGCCTTTTCTGCTGGGGGCTTAGAACCACCCTCAGCCTCTGTGACCCCTGCTTGCCCCTTCAGTTCTAAAGCAGCTGAAAAGGCCTATTTTGTGGGGCTGGGAAGAGGCAGCTAAAGAGATCTCAGATCACCAGTCAGCCCAGGAAAGGAGTGTAGAACCAAAGGACTGAATATCCCAGACTAGCGGCATCTTTATGCAAATTGCAGAACCAAAGGCCCCTGCAAAGGGCTGTACCCACATGGCCACCTAAAGTTAGAAGTGTGTAGTGACTCCACCTGCTGATGTATAGGTATGCCAAACATCAGAGCACTCACCCTGGTGACCTCCGTGGGTTCTCACAGGGCAGGGCAGGGAGTATGAGAATCTGGAAATGAAGAACCAGTGTCAGAGGGATACACTGCCTGCCCAAGGTCACAAAGCTGGACAGCCACCCCCTGATCTCTTCCACAACACGGAGCAGTGTTTCTCATGCCTGGAAGCATCCTTGGAGGTTTTAAAAACTACAGATGACCAGCTTCCCCATCATTTTGATGAAGTGATCTGGGATGGGGTCCAGGTATTGTAATTGTATTTGAGCTCCTTGGGTGATTCTAATAAACAGTCAGGGTTGCGATCTCCCAACATCAGCCAACAAAAAGAGGATGAGCTAAGGAGTGAGACAGCTCTGAGTGGGGTAGGGGCAGGGGCAGCTCTGCTCCAGCTGTGAGCTGGGGCAAAGCCCTGAACTTCCCTGAGACCCGGGTCACCCGAGGAGCTGCTGGGACTGTCTCACAGAGTACTTGGGAGGGACAAAAGGGAGATTTCTAAAATTCCCAGCACAGTTCCTGGCACATAGTTGAAACTCATAGTTGAAACTCTGTGGGAGCTCCCTTGACCCTGTGTGAGTGAGTGCTGGAGGACCGCTGTCCAGGACTCGGCCAGCCTCCCTGGAGCGGCTCCATCTCCTTTTCCCTTGTGTGGAACCCATCTCTGCTTACAGCTCTCTAATCAGCTCTCACCCCTGCTTCTCTCTCTCTTTCTCCAGGTGCCAAAGGTGACCAAGGACCACCTGGCCCACCTGGGCCCCCAGGCCCTCCGGGTCCTCCGGGTCCCCCTGGAAGCAGAAGAAAAGGCCCTCGGCAGCCAAACATGTTCAACGGCCAGTGCCCAGGTCACACACCCCTGCCCTAGGGAGCCATCTCTTCAGTTAACGATCCCAAGCTCTCAGGCTTCACCCAGACTTTGTGACCAGATTGTTTTAAATAAGGGGAGATTTTGCCCAAAGCGAGTATTCCTTCCCCATCTCCACCCACCTGGGAGGCCTGAACAGCCTGCCCAGGGTAAGGACCAGTGGCAGGTTTAGAATCGGGCCTCCTGCCTCCTGCCCTCATCCCTCTTCCTTCACTTGAGCTAGTCGCTCAATTGTGTCTAAGTCTTTGCAACCCCATGGACTGTACCCTGCCAGGCTCCACCATGGAATTCTCCAGGCAAGGTTGGTAGAGGGGGAAGCTATTCCCTTCTCCAGGGGATCTTCCTGACCCAGGGATCAAACCCAGGTCTCCTATTTGGCAGGTGGATTCTCTATAAAGGCTGAGCCATCACCAGACTATTCCTCTTTCTTGCCAGATCCACCATCTCTGGAGCATGGAGGGCTTGACTGATGGAGACGATGGGGAAATTCAGATCGTCTAACTCCCCATAGATACCCCAGTACGCCATCACCACCTCTAAGCTTTGCTAACAATGCTAGTGACGTTGTAGGCATAGAGCTAAGTGCTCAGTTCATTTAATTCTACACTAGCCCTAAGATACAGGAGTCGTATTCTGACCAGTTCACAGATACAAAGCTGAAACCCCAGGGAGCTACATAGTCTGTCCATGGTCACTCAATTGGTAAGCAACAGCTGGGATTCAAACCCCAGTGTGCCTGCCTGTAAAGCCCCTGCTTGGGGCATTTTCCTTTCGAAGACAGAAATCCACACATTGAGAATAAGCCAACAAAAGGCAGTTCAGTTCAGTCGCTCAGTCGTGTCCAATTCTTTGCGACCCCATGGACGGCAGTATGCCAGGCCTCCCTGTCCATCACCAACTCACAGTGTTTAATCAAACTCATGACCATTGAGTTGATGATGCCCTCCAACCATCTCATCCTCTGTCATCCCCTTCTCCTCCCTCCCTCAATCTTTCCCAGCATCAGGGTCTTTTCAAATGAGGCAGCTCTTCACATCAGTGGCCAAAGTACTGGAGTTTCAGCTTCAACATCAGTCCTTCCAATGAGTATTCAGGACTGATCTCCTTTAGGATGGACTGGTTGGATCTCCTTGTAGTCCAAGGGACTCTCAAGAGTCTTCTCCAACACCACAGTCCAAAAGTATCAATTCTTTGGTGCTCAGCTTTCTTTATAGTCCAACTCTCACATCCGTACATGGCCACTGGGAAAACCATAGCCTTGACGAGATGGACCTTTGTTGGCAAAGTATTGCAAGGGCGTCTGGTTTCTGGCAGGCCTGGACGGCTTGTTCTTCAGCCAGTTGTGACAGGGGTGGCCATGGGGTTGAGAGCTAAGAAGAAATCAAGGGCCGTGTTAATGAAAAGTCCTTCTCAGGCGCTGCTAGAACTTCACACAGCGATGTTCAGGGACTTATTCCCCTACCTTGGGCCATGAGGAGGCACACCTGGATGCCTGAGTTCCTGGCAAGCAGAGAAGAAGGTCCTGACCGGGGTTTCTCTCTCACTTGCTGTGGATTTCTCCACCACTTTTCTAAACACCCTTTCATTCTGTCTGGTACATTGTTCCTTCTGGAAGATGTTTGGGTGTGGGATACGGAACACACTTAGCTGTCAGAGTGGGTGAATCTGAGCTTTCAGGGATGTCACCACCACGCCCAGTGAATGGAACCTGATTATGACCCTGCCCAGCAGTGAGCAGGCTGTTAATTCAACACCACCCCCTCCCTTAGCATCAGCCCTTTGTTCAGCTTCCCTGGGGGTACAGGCTAAGCGGAACCCTCCCCTGAGAGGAGGGGAAGTCTGACCCTGCTTCTGTGGAATTTGGACTTGCCAGAGGCTCTGTCAGCAGTGAGAGGGGTGCTGGAGAGGTGCCCTCCCAGCCTAGCCTGCCTGCTAAGAGGCTGGTTGGCAGGGAGGGCTTGGGCTTCAGGGTTGTGAAAAGGCCGATTCCTTCTGCTCTGCCTCCCAGAAGTGCGTCCTGGTTGCCCGGCATCCAGCATCTGAGCTCCACCCTCACTGCTGCTCCTTCCTTAACCCCCCCCACCCCCCCGCCTCAGCTTTAGAAGCTGGTGGATAGGTCCCGCACGAGTTAACAAGACCTTTTCTTCAGACTAAGAATGGGAGGGTCTCTCTGTCCCTGTCTGTGCGAAGCTCAGGCCCCTAAGTGGGAACTTGAGAGGCAGGATTGTGTGTGGGGAGTCTAACAGCCCCGAGACAGCTCTCATCCATGGCAGAAGGGCTTCAGAGAGACAGGGCTCATCCAGCAAAAGGAAGGTTAGAGAAGAGCCTCCCTATTTTACTGATAAAGACACCTCTCTAGTTTATTCTGTGCGTTTCCCTAGTGACGGTGGAGGTGCTCCTTTCTATCTAGCAACCACAAGGTGATCGGAAACCCTCAGAATTTGCCTGGGGAAGTGGGTCCTGGCCTTTCCCAGAAAGCCCGATTTGCCGAGAGCTGCTGCCAGGCGGTCTGTTCCCTCTCTTCTCCACACTGGCCACGCGACCCGCGCCTTCTGTCCTGCTTCTGCCACCTGAGCACCTCTTCACCAAAGGTCTGAACTCAGCCCATTTGCTAAGGAAGATGAATTTATGCTTAGTCATAGCCTCAAACCAACTATGAATCAGGTGCCCCTCAAGGGCCTGGATCCCACAGGTCTTCGAGCAGAAAAAAACAGACGGGAAATGGGGAGGGGAAAGGGGCCCCGACCTCTCTGGTCTAGACTGTCTCTAGGCTCCCTCCTCCTCTGCTCCCTGGCAGTTCAGGAAGACAGGGTGCAATGGGCCACCCCATCATGAGGCTGCTCCCTCATCCCCATCAGCTTCACTGAAAGTGAAAATCCCTCCAGAAAATGCAAATTGTGATAGATTCCCACCTGCCCAGAGTGGCCAGGAACGTGTCAGTAAGCCTTCCTCCCCACCCCGCCCCCAGGTTGTTGAGGGTTAGGATAGCTGACTCAGGTGACATTTTCCTATTACTGACATCCTCTCGGGATCGTACAGTCTTAGCAACTGTGGTCATGAAATGCTTGTGGGGAACTCATCAGGCAGAGGAAACAAAATTGGAAGCGTATGAGTTGGTGCTTCAAAGCAAGCAAGCGAAAACCAAGGATGCTTATGGAACTCGAATCTGGAATGAGGTGGCGGAAAGCACCAGTTATAAAGTTATACATATCTCACTGTGCCAACTGCATTTGCTCTGATTATCTTTGTTGTTTTAGGTGAGACATGTGCTATACCAAATGATGATACCTTGATTGGAAAAACTGATGAGAAAGTCAGTGAACACCATTCCCCAGAAGCAGGTACAGAAACAAAGCATCCTGTTTCTTTTTTTTAATTACTTGTGTATGGGTCTTCATTGCTGTGTACAGGCTTTCTGTAGTTGCGGCGAGCGGGGGCTACTCTCTGGTTGCGATAAGAGGACTTCTCATTGTGGTGCCTTCTCTTGTTGCGGGGCACAGGCTCTGGGTGCAGTAGTTGTGGTGCACGGGCTTAGTTGCTCTGCGGCATGTGGCATCTTCCTGGACCAGGCATCGAACCTGTGTCCCCTGCATTGGCAGGCAGGTTATTACCCACTGGACCACCAGGGAAGTCCCAAAGCATCCTGTTTTAAAACTCAGAAATCAGATATCTTAAAGTCATATGGACTAAAAAAATAAAATAAAATCAGCACAATGTGAGAGTTGTGAGTCATGTTTCTTTTGTTGCAAAATGAGGGCTATAGCCCAGGAGAAAGCATTTCAGGTAGCTCAGAGAAACTGCTCCAGAGCAGTAGGGGGAGAGGTCAGCATATATGTGATTTTGGTGAAGGAGGAGTACATGCAATCAAGCACATGTTTTTTGCAGAAGGTTTCTGCAAGTCACATGGAGCAGTCATCACCTTGAAGGATTTGGGTGCTTTTCTAGATATTTGGAAAGTGAAAGTGTAAGTCTCTCAGTCATGTCTGACTCTTTGTGACCCCATGGACTGTAGCCCACCAAACTCCTCTGTCCATGGAATTCTCAGACAAAAATACTGGCGTGGATTACCTTTTCCTTCTGCAGGGGATCTCCTTACCCAGGGATCGAACCCGGGTCTCCCACATTGCAGTCAGATTCTTTACTGTCTGAGCCACGTTATGAAGAGATACATGACTTCAGTTCAGTTAAGTTCAGTTGCTCAGTCCTGTCCGACTCTTCATGACCCCATGGACAGCACCATGCCAGGCTTCCCTGTCCATCACCAACTCCCAGAGTTTACTCAAACTCATGTCCATTGAGTTGGTGATACCATCCAATCATCTCATCCTCTGTCATCCTCTTCTCCTCCTGCCTTCAATCTTTCCCAGCATCAGGGTCTTTTCAAATGAGTCAGTTCTTCGTATCAAGTAGCCAAAGTATTGGAGTTTCAGCTTCAGCATCAGTCCTTCCAAGGAACATTCAGGACTGATTTCCTTTAGGATGGACTGGTTGGATCTCCTTGCAGTCCAAGGGACTCTCGAGAGTCTTCTCCAACATCACAGTTCAAAAGCATCAATTCTTCGGCTTGGGCTCATAAAATCAGCTCCTGAAAATATCTAATTATCTGAAGACCTGTTCTACCAGTCCCCTACTGCCACCCCCACTGAGGACAGAGTGCCTCATTTCTGCTGTCCACCCTTAGCTCCTTTCAGGGGATGTGGAAAGTCAGCAGCTGCATCAGCACATGATTTAATCCTTGTAGAGGTAGGTGGCAAGTCCCAGTGGCAACTGCCAATTTGTAGGTTACAGTCATAACTGGGAGGTGAGTAACTTTCTCTTCTTTTAATAGAATCCATGATCACATCAATTGGAAATCCAATACAAGTGTTGAAAGTTAAAGAGACGTTTGGGACTTGGATAAGAGAGTCTGCTAACAAGAGTGATGAACGCATTTGGGTGACTGAACATTTCTCAGGTGCTTTTACTTGGCAGATGATCCATATCTCTGTTGTAATTTTCTTTCCTCTGTTGCCTCCCTTCAGGCTTATCCTGTTTCTGTGTCTGAAATCCTTGCTCATTGGTGTAACAGAATTGCTTTTTTTATTTTAGAAAGCCCAAATGAGTGGGCAGGATGCTCTTCTCAGTTGAGCACACTGGTGACAAACCTCACAGTTCAGATAATGGGGACATGACCAGGGCACCCCCACTGTAGCTTTTTGGCAAAGTGTCCAGGAGGAAACAAATAGCATCCTGACTGATAAACCATAAGAAACCCTGAAACCATAATGAGGAAGAAATGTCAGAGACAGTTTTTTTTGTTGTTTTTTTTGCACAGGCTATCTTTCTTTAAGGAGAATCCTTTTGGCCACTTTTCTCAGATACATCTGAGAACCCAGGGGAGAGGGTGAGGTATCATCTTGAAGATCTATTGCATCACACTGTCCCAAACAGATGTGGTCAGGAATTGCAGTGGCCCCATGCCAGAAGAGTCCTGGCCATGCCTACTAGTCAGAGCAATAGCTCAGACATGCTACTTTGGTTTCATCCAGGCTTACTCATCAGCTGGTAGTAACTGTCCAGATGACCAGCTGAGAGGGAATCTGTGACTCTAAAGCGAAGAGCAAGGGCACTGAGCCAGCATGGCCCCCTTGGAGTGCAGTGCTGGGAGGGGACCGCACAGGTGCTCGTCACGGTGCTGGCCTATGGCAGTCTGATAGAAAAGTTGGTGAAATTGTAGGGGAGGGCATGGTGCCGTTTTCCTGAGACGAGCAAAGGCAACTCTGGTTACTGTGTTCAAAAGACGATTCAGGAATCCACGGAAGAGAATTGGCCTTAGGGTTTGGGAGCCTGGGATCTTGAAACTAGACAAGGACCCTTGCAGGACGTCTGACTCTCACCTTCCATCCTTTTACCCCTCCTTCCCCGACTCGCCTCCAAGCTGTGACTGCCTTTCCCTGGCTTCCCTCCTACAGGTATCAGGGTGAAGGAATTTGAAGACCAGCCCTCGCTGCGGAACGGCAGTTACACGCTCATCCACCTCCCGTACTATTTCCACGGCTGTGGTCACACTGTCCACAACAACGCTCTCTACTACCACAAGGGGGGCTCCAACACCATCGTGAGGTGAGTCCTTCGGGGCCCCCTGCCCCTCCTCACCCTCCCCTGCCAGCACCTTCTCTGTGGCGCTTTAGTCACACTTCAGCTACTTAGGGGGAGGGACTGTGGGTCTGCCCTCTTTATGTTCCCCGGGGCCTGGCGCACAGCCAGAGGTCAGCCAGGGTTTGCTGACTGAATGAACCGCAGGCCACAAGGAGTGAGCCCCACTGCATTTATTGCTGGTCTGGAACCAAGCGTAAGGTCAGGGCCAGGGAGAAGGAGGCCGGGAGCAACAGGGGGAGGAAGCTTTCTCATCCTTTGGGAAAGAAAGAGCAGAATCCAGACCTCCCTCTGGCAGGAAGGTGTCACACCCTCAAATCGGTTTTGTTCTGAAAACTGTTGGGTGTGAAGAATTTCATGTCACAGCTGAGATCTCTGAGGACTAGAGACTGCAAGGCCTTCGGGTGGTTCTGTCATCCTGACAGAGCCCTCACCAAGCCGCCTCCCCTGCGCCCTCCATTTTCCCATGGGCAAGAGAGGTGGCCACCCAGGCAGTCGGGGCCCAGGACAGCAGCCCAGGCTTTCTGGCTCTGCACAAGAATTGCTAGAGGTTGTCTGCATGGCTCAAGAAGAAATCCAGTGCTGGGCTTTAGAGGCAGAAGTGGTCATCTTGGGCAAATCAAGGGAGCAGTGAACTCAGTCAAGTTCCAACCCTCCCACCTACTTATTTGTGACCTCGGAGGAGAGACTCCACCTCTGGTGACTTCCATGTCCTCACTACAAATGGAAAGGTGGATGAGAACCTCTGCAGCCCTCCAACTGTACTCCCATTGGAAATGACGATTCGTGTTGTGAAAGCCATGGTCCTCATCATTCCAAACAAGAGACTTGTATCTTGAGGGAGAACTGGATTCCTTCATGGGCATGGGCTTGCTAGCACAGCATGCGGTTAAACCAGCCACGTTAGACACACATGTCAGCCGTGGCTGGAGGCACCCCGTCCTGTGCCTCTGCACCACCCCCCACCCTGGGCTCCCTCACTGCCTCATCACCTCCTGGTTACCTCATCTAGACAGAATCTTGCGCTAAAAGAAAAAGATAACTGACCCACCACCCATTCAGAAGCCCTCTCTCCCCACACACACTGCTTTCTGTGACATTTGTTCTCATTTTTCAGCCCTGTGGCTCCCTACATGTGCAAGTGTGCTAAGTCGCTTCAGTTGGGTCCGACTCTTTGTGACCCCATGGACTGTAGCCCACCAGCCTCCTCTGTCCATGGGGTTCTCTAGGCAAGAATACTGGAGTGGGTTGCCATGCTCTCCTCCAGGGGATCTTCCCGACCCAGCAATCCAACACAGATCTCTTTTGTCTCCTGCACTGCAGGCGGGGTCTTTACTACTAGGAAGCCCTGTGGCTCCCATATGTGTAGGGCCACCCAGATGGCACAGTGGTAAAGAATCCACCTGCCAAATAGGTTCAATCAAAGCTGGTTTGATCCCTGGGTTGGGAAGATCCCCTGTAGAAGGGAATGGCTACCCACTCCAGTATTCTTGCCTAGAGAATCCCATGGACAGAGGAGCCTGGTGGGCTACAGTCCATGGGGTCGCAAAAGAGTCAGACACGATTGAGCGACTGAGAGCAGTTACGTGAGGTGTTCTGAGGTGAATGAGCCCCAGAAGAGGATTGGCCACCCTAAGAAAGAGTGGCTTCTAATGACACGAAGCTTGTGTGAGGCACTGGTTAGAACAACTATACTAGGGCCCTGCTCCAGTGCCTGGCTACAGTCTGGGAGGAGAATCAGAGGCAGACTGGAATTAGACCCTTTTTTGCTGGAAGAGACGAGCCTCATCAAGAAAAGCAACTGTTGGTGCCAGTGCTAGAATGGCAGTCCTGAATCCCTGGCATTCAGAGGAAGGGGAGCCCTGAGAACAGAGATGGGCATGAAAGACGTTCTCAAGCCCACACTCTTATCTAGTTTCTTTTCAAGTTTACTTCAGGATTTCCTAACTGGCTTCAAGCTTGCTGTACTCCAATACATACCCGCAGCTTCGCACCTGTCACAGTTCTGCTGTTCGATGGCGCCCTCTAGTGCTTTTCTTTTCTTGTAGCTTCAGTCCCTGAATTTTCATTCCTGAAGCTGAATCAAAATCCACTTTTGCTATGATGTAGATTTGGAGCCTGCCAAATCAAACAGCCTCCAGGAGCTGAGGGGCCTGGGGTTTCACGCCATCACTTCATTGATCTACTTGCTTACCAAAGAAAGAAAAGTGACTTCACAGCCATGACTTTGCCACTTCACTTCTCTGCTGCTGACTTCCTTCACTGAGCCTGCTGTGAAATTTTTGTCTTAAAACTCCAGCGTGGAGTAGAGGAATCACCCCCAAACTTGGAGGTCAAAAGCCTGAATTTAAACTGCTTATCTGTATTCCTGGGCTGGTCACATCTCCTTTTCTCATTAGTAAAATTAAATGACAGACTAGATTATCTTTTAAGGCCCCTTGCAGCTCTGAGAGGGCATATCAGGAGGTCAGCAGGCACCTGAGGATTCAGGAAGTGAAGGACTTTTACCAGGGTCACATGGTTAGGAGGTGGACACTGAGATGTAGTCACCAGCCTCTGCATTCTCACCACTCACGGTGTTGCAGATGAAATAGCAGAATGAGCACAACCTGGAACTTACTAGAAATGCAGAATCCCAGGCCCCACCCTAGCTTAATAGAGGAGCCTAAAAACCACCCTTGTCCATAAAAATGGTGTCTCATATCTACTTTTTTTTTTTTTTTAACACATTTCAGGTTTGAATTTGGCAAAGAAACATCCCAGACTCTGAAGCTTGAAAATGCCTTGTATTTTGATCGAAAATACCTCTTTGCGAATTCCAAGACGTACTTCAATTTAGCTGTAGATGAAAAGGGCCTTTGGATTATCTATGCTTCCAGCGCGGACGGCTCAAGCATCCTTGTCGCACAGCTGGAGGAGAGGACCTTCTCCGTGGTGCAGCACATCAACACTACGTACCCCAAGTCCAAGGCCGGCAACGCCTTCATTGCCCGAGGGATCCTCTATGTCACTGACACCAAGGATACGAGGATAACGTTTGCCTTTGATCTGTTAGGAGGGAAGCAGATCAATGCAAACTTTGCTCTAAGAACTTCCCAGTCTGTTCTTGCCATGTTATCATACAATATGAGAGACCAGCATTTGTATTCTTGGGAAGATGGCCATTTAATGCTTTATCCCGTACAGTTTCTGTCAGCTGCTTTGCACCAGTGATAGGAAGCATTCTGTTCCCCTCAGTAAATTTCAGCTGTTCTCTGGTACCATGTGTGTCCCAATAGGAAACTTGTCTTTAAGGACAGTCAGGTAATTAGCTGTCATAATCTCACGACACGGGTGCTGATGTGGTGTTTCCCCTTTAATTCTGACTCTGTAGGGGAAATAAGGGACTGGAACTCACAAATGGCTGGCATTTGGTGATTCCTTCAGAAACTAGCTGGGCAAGTTACGTCTCCCTCTTTAGGTCTTGTTTTTCCCCACTGGTAACGTGAAAGGGCTGGCTAAGATGATTGGTAAGATTTCCTTACCTGTAGGGAATTCTGTGATTCTTAGCTGTTGCTGCTCTCGCAACTTTTACGTATTTGGTTTTGGATTTTATTTTCGGCTTTTAGCCATGGCTGAGCAGATTTACCTCTGAGTTGATCAGCCTGGTGGCCTGAGCAATGAATTCCTTAGTTCCGACTTATGTTTATTGTCTTGGAAGCTGCACTGACCCTTTAAGGCTGTTGAGTTACCTTATTACCCCTAACTTACTACCTTTCTCTGCATCTTCACCTGCCACCAGAGCATCAGAGTGGGCATCATCCTCAGCTCCTGATTACCATGCCAAAATTAGCCAAAGCAGGAATAGCTGCCTGCATTGAAGCAGAAACAGGCACTTCTGGGTTCCTGTCAATTTCTGACCATGCTGATCTGCAGCTCGGCTCATAAACGTTGAATCTGCAGGTCTTGCAGAGTCTTTCTGCCCTAGATCTGGATCAACTCTCAGAGTAAATACTGTGCAAGTGGACATTAATCCAGTGAGAACCTTGAGAGGCACTGTGCAGTTTTCAGAAGAAAGGTGCCATTCGTGGTTATTATCTAGAACAAGGATGGGCAAACTGTGACCCGTGGGCCAAACACAGCCCATTGTCTGTTTCTGTAAATAAAGTTTTATTCAACACAGTCAGAGGCATTTGCGTATTATCACAGTCACAGGCGTATTATAGTCTGGGACTACTTTTGCTGAACACTGGCAGAGTTGAATCACTGCGAGAAAGCTGAGGAACAGCTCCCCAAACCTAAGACATTTACTTTCTGGCCCTTTACAGCAATAGTTTGCCAACCCCTGATCTAGAATATTAGAGTGAGCCTGATTCTTAGAAGGGCTTATTCACCTGAGCCTGTTCATTATATATTTTTTTTGTTTCAGACTAAAAAGAGGTCATTTATATGCTTTGAATTTATGGTAAAGGGCAAGGGTGAGAACAGCATAAAATTAAGACTCCACCCCCAGGAAAGCAGTTAATGAACTGTTCTTACCCTAGTGTAGTTTTTCTTTTTAATATGTTATCTTGCTTTTTCCTCCTTGTGACTTTTTAAAAATTTTAATTGGCAGATAATTACTTTATAACTACCCAAATATAGTTTTAAAGAATGTGATCTGGTCCCTTTGGATGCCAGGAGAAAATCCAGTGTAACTTGCTCCTAGTTCAGTTCAGTCACTCAGTCGTGTTCAACTCTTTGCAACCCCATGGACTGCAGCATCCAGGCTTCTCTGTCCATCACTAACTCCCAGAGCTCACTCAAGCTCAGGTCCATCGAGTCGGTGGTGCCATCCAACCATCTCATCCTCTCTTGTCCCCTTCTCCTCCTGACTTCAGTCTTTCCCAGAATCATTCTTTTCTAAGGAGTCAGTTCTTCACATCAGGTGGCCAAAGAATTGGAGCTTCAGCTTCAACATCAGTCCTTCCAATGAATATTCAGCACTGATTTCCTTTAGGATGGACTGGTTGGATCTCCTTGTAGTCCACGGGACTCTCAAGAGTCTTCTCTAACACCACAGTTCAAAAGCATCAATTCTTTGGTGCTCAGCTTTCTTTATGGTCCAACTCTCACATCCATAAATGACTACTGAACAAACCATAGCTTTGACTAGATGCACTTTTGTTGGCAAAGTAATATCTCTGCTTTTTAATATGCTGTCTAGGTTGGTCATAGCTTTTCTTCCAAGGAGCAAGCATCTTTTAATTTTATGGCTGCAGTGACTGCAGTGATTTTGGAGCCCAAGAAAATAAAGTCTCTCACTGTTTGCATTGCTTCCCCATCTATTTGCCATGAAGTGATGGGACCAGATGCCATGATCTTAGTTTTTTGAATGTTGAGTTTTAAGTCAACTTTTTCACTCTCCTCTTTCACTTTCATCAAGAGGCTTTTTAGTTCTTTGCTTTCTGCCATAAGGGTGGTATGATCTGCATATCTGAGGTTATTGATATTTCTCCCAGTAATCTTGATTCCAGCTTTTGCTTCATCCAGCCCAGGATTTCACATGATGTATTCTGCATATAAGTTAAATAAGCAGGGTGACAATATACAGCCTTAACATACCCCTTTCCCAGTTTGGAACCAGTCTGTTGTTCCATGTCCAGTTCTAACTGTTGCTTCCTGATCTGCATACAGGTTTCTCAAGAGGCAGGTAAGGTGGTCTGTTGAAGAATTTTCCACAGTTTGTGATGATCCACACAGTCAAAGGCTTTGGCATTGTCAATAAAGCAGAAGTAGATTTTTTCTGGAATTTTCTTGCTTTTTCTATGATACAACAGATGTTGGCAAGTTGATCTCTGGTTCCTCTGCCTTTTCTAAATCCAGCTTGAACATCTGGAAGTTCACAGTTCATGTACTGTTGAAGCCTGGCTTGAAGAATTTTGAGCATTACTTTATTAGAGTGTGAGATGAGTGCAATTGTGTGGTAGTTTGAGCATTCTTTGGGATTGCCTTTCTTTGGGATTGGAATGAAAACTGACCTCTTCCAGTCCTGTGGCCACTGCTGAGTTTTCCAAATTTGCTGGCATATTGAATGCAGCACTTTAACATCATCATCTTTTAGGATTTGAAATAGCTCAGCTGGAATTTCATCACCTCCACTAGCTTTATTCGTAGTGATGCTCCCTAAGGCCCACTTGACTTCATACTACAGGATGTCTGGTTCTAGGTGAGTGATCACACCATCATGGTTATCTGGGTCATTAAGATCTTTTCATATAGTTCTCTGTGTACTTGCTCCTAAATGCCCTTAAATACACATATTTTCTGCCAGCTCGGTTCTTCAAACATCCTTCAGCCTAACACTGAGGTCCAGGCAGGACCACCGAGAGTAGAGAGGAGTCCTGGGGTCCTACAGTCAGGAAGGAGACGTAAGGGAAATACTTATGTAAAGATTTTTCAGCAATTTGCCCTCACTGAGTACATGTATGTGTTAGGGGGAGCTTCTCAAACTTTTTCACTAGAGCCTCATTGATTCTCAGTGGCCCTGAGTCCTGGTTTTATACCTTATTAGTGGAAGCATTTTAAATTTCAGGGGATGTGCAGATTGAAATATTTGAGTCTCCACACCCCCTGAATAAACCTAGGCAGCTATGAGGGAATTTGTTGTTGCTGTGTTCTCAAAATAATGGGTATTTGAAACTTTTCTCCCCACTTTTTAATGAGATTGGTTATGTCATGTCATCACAGCTTTTTAAAAAAATGTCCTCTTCAGATTCATGTTTTATAACAAAGTAGAGTTTCATGTTCAAGAGCAATGTGTTTAATATGTGCTACTCTTAAAGTATTTAAAAATACATGTTGGCTGTTTCTGGACACAGGGGACCTGAATATGTATATAGTTTCATAGTGATGATTATAATAGTAATATATACAATACTAACTGTACATACAGTAACAACCAAAAGAGGTTAGTTATTTAATTAGCCCATATTTCTTTTACAAAAAGCTTTAGAAACCCCAGTCTTGGTATTTGATTTATCTTGGCACCCTTAACTGTTGGTAAGGAATCATATACTCACTGCTAGACACGTATAGATTGGGATTTCTTGCTCTCTCTCTCTTTTTTTTTTTTTTTTTTTTTGCTATGGCAGAGTAATATAAGGACAACTGAGTTTGACCAACAAACAGAAATTAGTAATTTCATAATAGGGTTGAAAAGTTTGTCTTTACAGAGTGAAAAGAATTCAGATTTTACTCATTCTTTCCTGCAAACAGTGCTTGATTTTTAAAAAAAGGTTTGAACTCATTGCTAAAATAGAATGTACCAGCTAATGTTTTTAAGTCAAGATATCATTTTAGCAGTTTACATTGACGCTTATAAGCAAAGTTACTTTACAGCACTTTCCAAACATTTGCACTTCTGATGTCAGAATCAAACCAGATAATTCCCTAATTCTTCTTTAATCTAAAGCAGATAATTTCCCACCAGAGAGTAAATAAAACCATCCCTCTCAACCTCAGAGGTTGGGTGGACCCCATTTCAAAGCATCTTCTTGCAAACTGATATTGTGTCCTATCATTTAGCCCAGGTGTTATGACAAAGTAAGGATCCTGGGAGGAAAGTTTTCAAATGAGGAGTTCTGATCTTAGGTACATCCACAGTCTGTTACCTTCCAAGGTTGCAAGATAAAAAGTCAAACAAGACACTGAAATTCTTAAAGAACCAGGTGTCTTTTTCTGACTGCACTGACTACATTTTGACTGTGGCTAGAAGGCAATGGCACCCTACTCCAGTACTCTTGCCTGGAAAATCCCATGGACGGAGGAGCCTGGTAGGCTCCAGTCCATGGGGTCGCTAAGTGTCAGACACGACTAAGCGACTTCCCTTTCACTTTTCACTTTCCTGCATTGGAGAAGGAAATGGCAACCCACTCCAATGTTCTTGCCTAGAGAATCCCAGGGACGGGGGAGCCTGGTGGGCTTCTGTTTATGGGGTCGCACAGAGTCAGACACGACTGAAGCGACTTAGCAGCAGCAGCAGCAGATGGTCACAGACGATCTAAAGGAGAAGTTCAGGACTGAGCTTTTCAGTTCTCATGCAACTGCTAGGACCTGGTGAACCACATCATTAAAACTATAATTTCCAACCTGTAACCACAGATTCTAAGCTCTTCTGAGCAACGAATGGATCATGGTGAAAGTATCTTTTTTGGTTGTAATTTATTTAACTTTAATTAGTCAATAAAAATAATCATTGCTGAACATAATCACATGTTGAAACAAGTGTACTGTTATTATTACCTCATGTTAATTTATACATAATGTTTAGAAGAAAAAATAACCAAAAACCAGTGTTGTGGTAGAATTATATTAATATTTGTTGCTCCTCTATTCAAACACTCATAGTTTGCTGGCTCCTTCTGAGTACTGAAAAAAGTCATTAATATGGATTGTTTTCTCTATCAGAAAACATGAAAAATGTGCAACTAGTTACTAAAACTAGATACTTACAGATGTAAGTGCAATGAAGATTTGTTAGTTTATTGGCTTAGTTTAGGCAACTAAAAAGGACATGATGTTACCTGCTAAACATAGAAAGAATTTTAAAAATTGGATTTGTGTGAATTTGGGCGAGTCTCTCAATCCCTCAGAAGCTCTCTGTCATCTGTAAAATGTGGATACTACTACTTACCTCCTTTGGTTTTTCCATGGAAATGAAAAGTGCTCTAAAAATTATATGATTCTTGATAAATCATAAGTGGTACTCTTATATTTCAAACCTACAAGGAACCAGAGTGACGCTGTTATTCTTTCAGCCTTATTCAGGGGCTGCCGAGCTGAGTGAGAGGTATACAGCATCAACAGTGTCTCTCTGCTGGTCTGTATGACTAGGGAGTTAACACTTCATGCCACCAAAAAAATGGTCCCTTAGTCATGCAACAAATTTACAGTAAAAGCGCCCTCAAATCATGAAAAAAAAATTCAAGGACCCCACTGTTTTGACCTAGAGAACTTCTTTATAACCTTCCCCAGAAGAGTCTCTGTTCCTGACAGTCCCAGGCATGCACTGCTGATGTCTTTTGTCATTAAAATAATACAAAGCAAAAAAGAAATAAAAGTCCTCAGAGAAAATAGCCTTTCCCCTTTACCTGGACCATTCAGACTTTGCATGGGATGCTAACATATCCAGTTTTATAGCTGTTCACTGTAAGATTTAAAATAAGAAAGAAATTAACCTGTCTCCCTACTTTCCCCTCCAAATGATCTGTCATGATCAGCCTCAAAAACTGAGCCACTTGAACAGTGGTTGTTAAACTATTTTCTAAAAATCTAAAAAAATTAATTCTAAAATTGCTAAAGTCTTGTGTCTAGCAATATGGCTTGGTTAGTGTTCCAAATTCATTTGCCAAGAAGCCACATACATAATCACAGGATTACAAAAGGTCAACACTAGATAGAATCTTCACATAAAAACCACTCCAACTTTCTCATTTTAAAGCCTAGAAAAGTGAATCCAGAGAAGTTTCACCTAACATCACAGCTTAAGTATCATGGTGAAGATAAGATATTTTTTCCTAACTTTATGATCATGGTTTCCACCTTACTCAGACATGTCCAAGAGAAGGATCTGGTCTGTGGAAAAAGACAGTAATTAACTTTGAAGGTTTTTTTCAAAAGGCGTTCCTTTTAAAAAGCTGTATCTAGAGGAATTTGCCAATTTAAGCCCAGTCAGGCATAGGACACTCCTCAACAAAGAATTCCTCAACAGTCGTCACCTTCCAAGAGGGAGATAAGAAAGCTGGCACAGCACTGCTTGTTACTCTAAAAATTGCCTCACCATTGGACAACCCTTCCTGCCCAGATTTTTTAGAGACATCAATGTGACTGCTGCCTGGTGCTCACCATCTATGTGTCATGGTCTCCTCTAGGCAATGGAACATGTTATTTCATTATTTCACTTGATCGTTATTTCACTTGAGCATCATAGATGCTCAAATGGAAAAGTCCTTCTTGTTGTTTTTCAGTTGCTAAGTCGTGTCTGACTCTTTGCGACCCCATGGACTGCAGCGTGCCAGGTTTCCCTGTCCTTCACAATGTCCCAGAGTTTGATCAAGCTCATGTCCATTGATATCCTTCTTAAATATCATTTACTCTCTCTGGTCAATATTTTAATCCTCTCTCCAAGCATGGTGAACGCTATGATATATCCAGTACATGGATTCCACGTCAGGAAAGACTTTCTGCCCCTGGTGCTGGGAGTGCTGTCAGCAAATAGCCTTCAGCTGTCAGACCCTTCAGGATTTGCCTTGTCTGCAGAGATTTGCTTCACCCAGGAAGCACCTCCTCATCCAGTGATGGATCAGTGTGAGTATAAAGGCTTGGACAACTCAGCCCAACTCAGAACTGCTGTAAAGGGCCACTCTAGTACCAGAGATCCCCATAGCTCAGCCAGACCTGTCACTGGGCCTGCATCACAGACTTTTCTTTCTACTATCCTGCTTCCTTCTCCTCCAGTCCTCCCAAAGGTATTGACAGTAAGGGCACTGTTTAATGACACCCTGCTAACTAAGCTCCATCTCAGAATTTGCTTCCCGAGGAACCTGTTGTAGAGTTGCCAGGTGAAATGCAGGTTGCCCAGCTAAACTTTAATTACAGATAAAGAACAAAAATTTTTAAATATAAATATGGCACAGGATATACTTATAGTAGGGGCTTCCCAGATGGCTCAGTGGGTAAAGAATCTGCCTGTAATGCAGGGCACGTGGATTCAATCCCTGAGTCAGGAAGATCCCCTTGAAAAGGAAATGGCAACCCACTCCAGTATTCTTGCCTGAGAAATCCCATGGACAGTCCATGGTTACAGTCCAAAGAGTTGCAAAGAATCAGACATGACTGAGTGACTAAGCACATAATTACACTAAAAGTTTTATTTATCCAAAATTCATAATTTAACTGGAAGTGCTGTATTTATATTTGCTAAATCTGGCACCCCTAAGCTGAAGTGGTCCCAGGAAGAAGCCGCTGATGCAGCTTTGAAGCTGAATCATCCACCACCCTGTTTGTAAAAGGGACCTCATGGCTGATAGTAGATGGAGCAAAAATTGCCAGTGAGACATGATGGTCCAATCATTAAAGCTTTCATTGGTGGGAAACTGGAATGGTGTAGCAGTGGAAAGGAATGCATCAGCCAGTGTTATGTATCAGGTGTTAGAGATCATGAAGAAACAGGGAATCAAAGGATCATGAAAGCAGGTGGCTCTTGCTAAGGAAAAAAGGTAATAAGCAGGTGAGAGGAATTGCCAACTGAAAGCTCCGTGGAAAGCCCAGGGCCAGGGCCTCCTTAACAGCACACAAAGAGGCTCTTGACTCCTGCAGTGGAAGGCAGAGAAAGCTAGAGACCAGGCCGCGGGCTTGAAGATCAGCTCCAAAGAAGCTTTTTGCCAAGCTCCAAAGAAAATTAAACTCCCAACAAAAGAAGGTCGCCACACCAAGGTGAGGACCTGGCCAGGAAGAGGTTGGGACTCTGCTATTTGGGATGGGGCTATCTGGGTCGGCCGTTTCCAAGTTGCCGTTTGTGGTCATTTAGAAGTAATGGGGAAATTCAAGGATGCATTAGATCAAGTTTGTTGGCAAATTTATTTTCTGTAAAAGGCTTGATAATAAATATTTTAGGTTCTGTGGTCCACACCATCTCTGTTGCAACTCCTGAATTCTGCTGCTGAGGCTAAAAAACTCACAAACAATAGGTCAATGAGTGAGCATGGCTGATTCCAACACAGATTTGTTTATGGATGCTGACATTTGAATTTTATCATTTTATGTGTCACAAAATGGTTTTAACTATTCTTTTTAAAGATGACTTTTTAAAAAATCTACTTTTGTCTGTGCTAGGTCTTCATTGCTGTGCACGGGCTTTCTCTAGTCGTGGCAAGCAGGAACTACTTTTCCTCAGAGTGCACAGGTTTCATATCGCAGTGTTTCTCTTGTTGGGGAGCATGGGCTCTAGGCCCATGGGGTTCAGTAGCCGAGGTTCACAGGCTTAGCTGCCCCGCGAAGTGTGGAATTTTTCTGGACCAGGGATTCTTTACCACTGGACAACCAGAGAAGTCCTGGTTTTAACTACTTAAAAATGTAAAAACCATTCTTAGCTTATAGACTGCACAAAAAAGGTGTGGACTGGATTTGACCTACACCTAGTTTCAGGTTACTGAAACCTGATATAATTTCATGATTTATAATAAGAAATATATATTGGTCTTTGTCTACTTTCTGGCATAGAGCTCCTAGACCTCAAAATTTCCTGTGATGAGAGCCATAAAAGTGTCTTTTGTTGTTAATGAAGTGACTTTTGGAAAGCCCCTAGGTGACATAAACACAGGGACTGGTTACCAGTATAACCAGCCATGATTAGAGGGTTGGAACTTTCAGTCCCACCCCAACCTCCAGGGAGGGGTATGGAGTTAGAGGCTGAATCAATCACCACTGCAAATGATTTAATCAATCATGCCTGTATGACGAAAGTCTCCATAAAAACCCAAAAGGACACGGTTTGGAGAACTTCTAGGTTGGTGAACATGTGGAGATTTGGAGGTGGGGGCGGGGGGTAGTCATGAAAGCTCCAAGTCCTTTTTGTATGCCTTGCCCTATGCATCTCTTCCATCTGGCTATTCCTGAGTTTTATCATTTTATAATGGTAATCTAGTAAGGAAAATGTTCCTCTGAATTCTGTGAGATGCTGTTGCAAATTAATCTCAACCAAGAAGGAAGTCGTTGGAACTTTAGAAGCACAGGAAACTACATGGACTTGGGTTTGGCGTCTGAAGTAGCAGTACCTGCTCCTCCTGTGTAGGTCTGAGCCCTTAGCCTGTGGGCTCTGGTGCTATCTCCAGGTAGATGATGTCAGAACTGAGTAGAATTTTAAGACACCAACGAATATCCAAGAATTTTGTAGTGCGAGAAAACTCCCACACATCTGGTGTCAGAAGTACTCTGTTTTGTTGTAGTGTGAAAGTAAAAGAGAAAGCTAGAAAACTGACTTTTCCCTTATTCACCTGGGTTAAGTCATGCTATCCCGAATGGTAATTTTTCTGGCTTACATAGACACAGATCCACTCTTTTATGTTCTTTTCCCATATAGGTCATTACAGAGTATTGAGTAGGGTGCTACCGTAGTAAGTCCTTATTATTTATCTATGTTCAAATGGTACTTATATTTAAGAACATTTTATTGCTAGAGGGTGGAAATCATTGTGTCAACTTAAAAATTGTTGCACAAACAGCATGCAATACTTCATCTTCTCCAAAGGAATACCACGGTGGTTGGCGACATCAGTCATCAGAGTTCACTTGAGTGCTGACTGTGAGATGTGTACCAAAGGCTTCACATGTATTATCTGATATAATTCTCATAGAAAGTCCATAAGGTATAAATGTTATCCACCTTTTCCAGATTAAAAGATATTAAGAAACTCACTCTAAATCAGTTTGTAAATGCTGAAATTAAGATTCAAATTCGAGAAGTCAGAAACCAGAGCCCACACTGAGTAATTGCTCTTTGCTGCCTCAGAAAGAAGCCTAGGGGTGTGGTAGTGAAGTGGTAGCTAGACTGCTCTAGGATTCCTCGCTGCTTCAGTTTCCTCGTCGGGCTTCCTAGCAGCAGCCTAGCAGAAAGGCAAGCAAAGATGTCTGAATATATTCGGGTAACCAAAGATGAAAATGACGAACCCATTGGAAACCATCATAAAATGATGGGACAGTGCAGCCCAGCTTCTAGGGGCACGTGGTCTGCACTACAGGAAGCCAGTGTCTCAGTATACGAGAGGTGTCCATCTGGTAGAAGGTATTCTGTGTGCCCCTAATGCTGGCTGAGGGAATCTGGTGTATGATGTCAACTATCACAACAATAACAAAAGAAAGATGGATGCTTCATCAGCAGTGAACATGAGAAAAGTAGTCCAGAAATAGTGTTTGGTCTCCCATGGAAAACAGCAGGATCTAAGAGTACTTTAGTACCTTTGGAGAGGTTCTTAGGGTTCGGGTCAAGAAAGATACTAAAATTGGCCATTCAGGGACTTCCTTGGTGGCCCAGTGGCTAAGACTCTGCACTCCCAATACAGAGGGCCTGGGTTCAATCCCTGTTCAGGGAATTATTGATAGATCACACACGCCACAACCAAAAGTTCACATGCCGCAACTAATAAAACCCGACACAGCCAAATAAATGCATATTCTAAAAACTGGTCATTTGAAAGGATTTGACTTTGTTCATTTTATGGAATATGAAGCCCAGGTGAAAGTCACATCACAGCAACATGTAATAGATGGACAACAGTGTGACTGTAAACTTCCAAATTCTAATCAAAGCCCAGAGGAACATTTGGGAAGCAGAAAGGTGTTTACTGGGTGCTGTACAGAGGACATGACTGCTGATGAGCTGCGGCAGTTCTTTTGCCAGTACAGGGAAGTGGTAGATGTCTTCAATCCCATGCTGTTCAGGGCTTTTGCCTTTGTTCCGTTTGCGGATGATCAGGTTGCCCAATCTCTCTGTGAAGAGGACATGACCATTAAAGGAATCAGCATACATATATCCAAGGCTGAACTGCTGTCTGGTAGCAACAGACAGCAGTGGAAGATGTGGTGGCGATCCAGGTGGCTTTGGGAGTCAGGGTGGATTCGGTAGATCAGCAGTAGAGAGGGCGGAGCTGGTTTGGGAAATAATCCAGGTAGTAATATGGGCAGATGGAGGAATATTGGTGCTTTTAGCATTAGTCCAGCAATGATATCTGCAGCCCAGGCAGCTCTGCACAGAGCTGGGGTATGATGGGCATGTTAGACAGTCACCAGAACCAGCCAGGCCTGTCAGGTCATAACCAAAGCCAAGGCAACATGCAGAGAGAGCCAAGTCAGGATTTTGGTACTGGAAATAACTCTTAGAGTGGTTCTAATTCAGTTTCAGCAGTTGGTTGGAGAGCAGCATCAAATGCAGGGTCAGGTAGTGGTTTTAATGTAGGCTTTGGCCCAAGCATGGATTCTGAATCTTCTGGCTAGGGAATGTTGACATTGGGTTATGGTTAGTTGGTATAAACTGGTAGAAATTCAAATTTTTCTAAACGCATGGTAAGTATATTGTAAAAATACATTTAAGAATTTTTAAAATTGGCTCCTTCAGTGTGGAGTATATTCGGCAGTATATCTGGCATTCTTCTTTAGAAAAAGAGCTAAATGAATTTTTTAAGTTTTGTTACATAAAGGGTTGAAGTATTGAGTGTTTGAAAGTGAACTGCTATTAACCTGATTGATAAACCAACACACTACAATTGATATCAAAATGTTTCTCCTGCAATATTTTATCCATGGACTTGTGAAGTGAATTCTTTGCATGCTCAAAATGGAAACCATTGATTAGAACTACATCCTTTTCTTCTTCTTTTCATTCGAACCCCACCATATCAATTTTTTCCTTGGGAAATCTCCTCTTTGGAGAGCATGGTGTCACAGTGCTTGGTTCTTCTGTTTTTGTTTTTTTAACACTTGTCTCCCTTCATATACAAAAGTACAATACAAAGCCTTCATTTAATCTTTGCAGTTCATCTCATTTCAAATGTTTATGGAAGAAGCACTTTGCTGAAAGTAGTGCTGTAAATAATTCTACCATAGGAATACTTCTGTCCGCATACTTTCTCATTCAAGGATTCTCATCACGCTGCACAGACTGTGTCTTTGATAGTTTCTGATTTTTATACACTATTCTTTATTTCATGAACTTGTATCAACGCTGTGAATGCAAGCCTATGATATGGAACCAGAGGGCTGTTAAAACTTTTGAAACCTTGTGTGGGATTGATGATGGTGCCAGTATGAGCGAGGAAAGGAGAGAGCATGTGCAGAGATTTGGTGGTGCATAATGGATATTTTTTAACTTGGCAAGGTGTGTCTCTAAGTCCTGTGGCTTTGGTAAGAGAGTGTGCTGAGAGCAGTGATAGCAAATAACATACAAATATTTTTTGCATTCAAAGGACATCTGCATCTGTCCGAAGACTTTTAGTTTTGTTCTTTGTTAACCTACGTTAGCTGAATGTGTTAAGTGAAACGATGTTTGTATTTCCCCTACCTTTTTGTCACCCACTGTGAATGCTGTATGGTGTGTGTTCTCTTCTCTCACAGATCTGTAAGTGTGGTAGTGTGAACTGAAGCTGAGGGGCTGAGAACATGTACTGAGCTTATGGTGTGCTTTACACGAGTACTTGGAAGCAGAGTTCACTAGTGACCTCAGTGTCTCCAAGTAAGGTGAAAGTTCTGATGTCTGTTACTTACCCCTAAGAATGCTGTGTGCTGCAGCTCTGTCTCCTGTGCCTGGATGCTTTTTTATAAGAGTTGTCAATGTTGGAAATTCTTAAATAAAACTGATTTAAGTAATAATGTGTATTTGGTTTGCAGCCCTGAATGCAAAGAATTCAAAGCAGTTAATTCTCCTTTTTTGACCCTTTTGAGATGAAATTTTCATGACGTTTCTTGCAATAGTTTATCTTGCTTCAAATAAACTTATTTAAAAAGTTGTCTGAAGTCAAATGGATTTATTACTTGTCATACATAGACAGCTGATACCCAGCTTCAACTGCTATTTGTTCTTGCATTGCCCAAAGTGAAAAGTTTTTGTTTTGCTTTTTCAAATCTAGTTTTTAATAAGTCTAGGTGACTGCAGCTAAAATGGTAAGCAGTACCCTCTAGCTTTTTCTTACTGCCTCTGTGCATATGGGTGATGTTCTATTTGCATGGCCTATATAAGCCTCCTTTGAGAAATTATGACTTCTAAAGATATTCTTATTTGGTGGAGTGGGCAAAAAATGTTAATTATTTTAAAATGCTTCATAGCAAAGCTTGTCAATTGAAATGCAAGGAATATCAGCACCTTTCTAGTTGGGGATTAATTGCAATAAGGATAAAGTAAAGAAACCATAAATTATCTTGTGCCTGAAATCTGTCAAGAAACCTGATAGCTTTAAGAACCAGCAAGGTGGGTTGTCTATCTGTGGAAGTGTTAAGTGAAATAGTCTTTGTCTTCCAAAGGTGAGGAAATAGAGTAATATTGATAAAGGTGTAAACATGTTAGTTGTTCAGTTGTGTCTGACTCTTTGTAACCCCATGGGCTATAGCCTGCCAGGCTCCTCTGTCCATGGAATTCTCCAGGCAAGAATACTGGAGTGGGTTGCCATTCCCTTCTCCACGGGATCTTCCCAACCCAGGGATCCAACACAGGCCTCCTGCATTGAAGGCAGATTCCTTTACTGCCTGAGCCACTAGAGAAGCAAACAATATTGCTAAAATAGCTTACAAAACTCAGACACTCGAGATGAATTGTTAAGGATATGAAAGCAGTAATACATTGCTTCTCTATTGTACTTAAATTATAACTAACTTCTGTGAGAGTCGAGCTCCTTTTCTAATGGAAGAACGACAGTTTTTGTATTGATAATTTACTTAATGCCCTTATCTAATTAGAGTATGATAAATAAATTTGTCATTTTACAAGTTACATGTTTTAAAGTTTTATAAATGAAGCCATCCTTCAGACTTATGGTCACCACATCGTTTTATTCAGTTTCCTCAGTAAAAGGATCTTGCCTTGATTTTTTTTCTGCATCTAAACTGCATGATTTCCAAACTTTGTACTATGTGATTTTTACATTTTAGCACTTGCACTATTATCCAGCAGAAGTAACATGATAACACTTAAAATGATATTCAGGGACCTCCAAAGACTAAACAGACAAAACTTCAAAGAGCTCAGGGTAAGTTAACTTTGTCAAGGTCATGGTTTTAATCCCTTATTAACACTTGTGTAAATCTGGTTACTAGTCTTAGAAAGATTTGAATGTTGAGAACAACCATCTATTGGCATGTTTATGGTATAACATAGCTATTGGGTAGTTAATTATACATTACAAAAAACTTTTTTGAAGTTTAGAAGTAAACTATTTGGCAAAGATTGTTTTTAAAGTGTATTTGGTTATCTAAATGCATTCATTCCAAAATTTTTCTCTGAACCAGTTGAATAAAAATTTTGTTGCCACCACAAAAAAAAAAAAAAAAGAAAAGCCTAGGATCCCTCCCTTCTTTCTAGCTCCTTTGATCCTTCCAGTGCAATAGAAAGGCTAAAGGCGCAGCTACATGATAGCGGTTTGGCAAGTCCTTTCCTGTCTTATTTGGTTAGTCTCATTCCCAGGAGTCTGGAGATGAAATAAATAATGGCAACCTGCTTCGTTTAGCAGAAGAAGTAACCATCTTTCTGTGTGATTTCTCTCTTTCTCTTTACCCTACCCCTCTTTTGCTCTAGATGTACTCTGGCTAATGTTAACGTAGGCCCTCCATCTTCCCTTTGGTTCCTATTAGAGGTGCCAAGTCCAAACTCAATCTCTATGCCACACAGTCACCAGGCCAAGAAATCTGAGCAAGGTGTGGAGGCATGGAATAAGACTTTAGTAGGAAAGCTGGTTGACTGAGATGATGGCAGACTAGTGTCTCAAGATACCCATTTATCAGGGTCAGGATGCCAGGCTCTTTTATAGAACAGAGATGGTGGTGAGGGGCAGTGAGGAAATAAAGTAAAAAGGCAGAACGCAGAGGAAGAGGCAGTGAAGAAGCAAAGTAAAAAGGGGCAATCAGACTTGCAAAACAGCTCCAGGAACTGCCAACTTCTGAAAGGAATGTGTTAATCTGTTCTCTCCTGTAGGTAATAACAAATGTATAGGGTCAGATTATCTCCCTGTGAGCTGAGCAAAGACAATTTAGTCCAGCAGTCAGGCAGAAGGGCTGGGTTTTCTGAGGCACCTCATCATATATGATTATAATTGCAACAGCACCAAAAAGCAAGTCAAAAACAGTTCCAACATGGAATCAGAATTGGATCTTCTCTGCAACTTTAGCATGGTATATCATTTCCATCCTTTTACTTTTAATCCGTGAGTAGGAAGATACTCTGGAAAAGGAAATGACAACCTGCTCCAGTATTCTTGCCTGGAAAATTCCACTCACAGAGGATGCTGGTGTGCTACAGTCCATGGGGTTGCCAAAGAGTTGGTCATGGGAGCACGTGTACTCAGTACAGGACATCATACTAAAATATTTTTTTGTAGGCAGCACGTATTTAAGTTGTGGTTTTCCCCCAGTCTACTACTCCTTCTGAATTGAGGTACTTAAACAAGGGACTAGTAAACTATAGCCTGGCAGACAGCCTGTTTTTGTAAATAATATTTTATTGAAACATAACCACATCCATTTCTTTGTTTTGACTCTGGCTACCTTTATGCTACAGCAAAACAGTTATGTAGTTGCAGCAGAGACTTCGTAACTGGCAAAGGTAAACTATTTACCTTCTACCCCTTTAAGAAGAGGTTTGCTGCTCTTTGGTTTACACCATTTACATCTAATGTACTGATCAATAAGGCTGGTTTATATCTACCTTTTTGCTGTTGTCTAACATGCCCTTTCTTCCCCTTTTCTCACTTGTTGCTGTCTTATGGACAAGTGAAAACATTTTATAGCTTCACCTTATTTCCTTTATTCATTTAGTAGTTATTAGTTCTTTTTGTGTTATTTTACTTTAGTTTATACTGTGTATCTTTATTACAGTCTATCTTCAACAATACACTATTTTATATTCAATGTAAGAACTTTGACAAC